GGAAAGGAGGAGGAGAAGAGGGAGGAAGAGGAGGAGGAGAAGGAGGAAAGGAAGGAAAAGAAGGAAAAAGAGGAAAAGGAGGAAAAGGAGGAGGTAGAAAAGGAGGAAAAAGAGGAGGAAGAGGAGGAAGAGCAGGGGAAAAAAAAAAGAGGAACAGGAGGAGGGGGAGCAGCAGCAGCACAAGGCGGGGGCGCTCCCGGAGCGCTCGGGGCGCCGTGCCTGGGACTGTGCCCGAACTGTCCCCGGGACTGTCCCCGGGCTGTGACCCAGCTGTCCCCGGGACTGTCCGGGCCATGGGGCCGCGCTGCGCGCTCTGGGCCGCGCTGCTGCTGCTGCTGGCGGAGGCGCAGGAGCCGTGGCGGCAGCTGATCCAGTGGGAGAACAACGGGCGGCTCTACAGCCTGCTCAACAGCGGCGCGCAGTTCGTGCCCGCCGGGCGGCACCGKCCCGCGGGGACACGCGTGTGGCTGGCGGGGACGGCGGGGACCGCCACCGGCACAACCGGGACAACCGGCGGGACAAGCGGGACAACCGGCGGGACCGGCACTGGAACCGCCGCCGGGACCGGAACAGACACCGGGACAGCCACCGGGACAGCCACCGGGACAAGCACCGGGACAACCGGGAGCGGCCGCCCCGCCCGCCGCCAGGCCTCGGGCACCGTGCGGGGACAAGCGCGACACCCGTTCGGCTTCGGCCAAGTGCCGCCCAACTGGCGGGAGCCGGGCTGGCACCGGGACAGCAGCAGCAGCAGCGCCGGCGGCACCCGGTGACATCCGCGGCCTCGTCGTTCGCTTTCGCCGCCGCGGGGGTGGCGCCCGAGGGTGGCCCCGCGTCCCGGAGCGCGGGGGTGGTGCCCGAGGGTGGTGGCGCCGTGATTTGGAACGCGGCGGTGGCACCCGACGGTGGCCCCGCGTCCCGGGGAGCGGTGGTGGCGGCGGCGGCGGCGGGGACGGGGACATTCCCGGTGAATGCCGAGGAGCGGAGTCGCTACGGGGCCGCGCTCCCGGTTCCCGAGGACCGGAATTCCTACAGAGCGGCGCTCCCGGTGCTTTCCGAGGAGCGGAATTCCTACCGGGCGACATTCCCGGTGAATCCCGAGGAGCGGAGTCCCTACGGAGCGACATTCCCGGTTCAGGAGGAGCGAAATTCCTACCGAGCGGCGCTCCCGGCGCATCCCGAGCAGAGAAATTCCTACGGGGCCGCGCTCCCGGTGCTTTCCGAGGAGCGGAATCCTTACGGGGCCGCATTCCCGGTTCAGGAGGAGCGGAATCCCTACGGAGCTCCGTTCCCGGTGAATCCCGAGGACCAGAATTCCTACAGAGCTCCGTTCCCGGTGAATCCCTCTGACCGGAATTCCTACGGAGCTCCGTTCCCCTTTCATCCCGCTGATCGGAATTCCTACGGAGCTCCATTCCCGGTACTTCCCGAGGAGCGGAATTCCTACGGAGCTCCGTTCCCGGTGAATCCCAATGAGCAGATCCCATACGGAGCTCCGTTCCCGGTGAACCCTGAGGATCAGAATTCCTACGGAGCTCCATTCCCGGCGGTTCCTGCTGACCGGAATTCCTACGGAGCTCCACTCCCGGCCCATCCCGCTGACCGGAATCCCTACGGRGCTCCGTTCCCGGCKCTGGACCGGCGCTTCTCGCACAGTTTGTACAACGAGGCCCCGCAGCGGATCCCGGTGCCCGGTCCCGATCCCGATCCCGATCCCCGGAGCGCGCCGGGATCCTCTGACACCCTTTATGGGATCGGGATCGGGACCGGGACGGGGATCCCAAACCCCAACGGCCCCAACGGCGACCCCAACCCCGCGCGGAGCCCCCCGAGCCCGCGGGCAGCGCCCCACGGGGGGCTCAGCGTGGGCAGCGTCTACCGGAGCGGGAACGGGGCCCGCGGTCAGTGCGGGGAGAGGGTTTGGGGTCGGGGGTTGGG